TACGCCTCCTCGCATCCTCTCCGGAGCTCTCCAGAGAGCGAGCCCAGAAGGAATGTGGGGTCAAATGTTTTGTTCAAGCAAGGGTGGGAAATTGCGTAATGGGCAAGTCCACGTCATAAAATCCACCCCAGCTGACACTAACCAGAACATTGAGACCGAGGATGAACGGGGCCACGGAGAGAGAATTTCCCCTTTAGTCCCATTGATGGCCTCTCTAGGAAAGGGCTGAGGCACGTTGGCAGGGGAGAGCATGCACTATGTTGCTTGTTCTGAATCTTCTCAGTGGGGAAACAAGAGGCGCTATCTCTACAGCCCCTTTCACCAGCAGTAAATCTACCCGCTATTACTGTTTTTCAAGGAAAATACAATATAAAGAGTGAAACAAATGTGAATGCGGGCATCTGGGAGTAACCCAGGAGCTATGTTAACACCGAGTTCTACATGAAGCCCGTCAAGCTAAGCAAACGTTGCAAGCAGACTGCAGCAGTGGCTTGGTTTTTGTTTCGGTCTGACATGATCTGTTTTCTTTATGGAACAGGATTCTAACTCTGCTTCTAATTAGCCCAAAGATGAGGCTGAGGTGGAACCAAACATGCCCCAAATCAAAACCTAATGGCATCTGGGGGGATAAAACCAAAATAAACTCAAGCTGGTATTTCAGCAACGGGCAAGTTCCTTGAGACTGTGGCCAGTAGCTGCAGTATGGGGCCCTTCATACCACTCTGTAGGAGACATTGGCATCTCCAGTCTCATTGATTGATTGGATTTTTATTTGTTTATTTCTATTGAAGCTCTTCCATTAAAAATCAAACACGTTCAACACAAAATGTTAGCTGGGCAATTCTCCCAGGCGCAGATTGTTCCGATTCAACGCTCTCTCATAAAACCAAAGGCGCTGTACCCAGCCACTGATATCATCCTTCCGCCCCCAGCCTTTCCTCTGTGGACCTCCTGACTTTCTGAACTGCCAGATTCAAATCCCATTTAAATCAATAGAAAGGCTCAGGCAGGAACATGTCCAGGCAAAATATCTTAAATGTACCAGTAGGTGGCAATGTTTCAGATTATTGCTTTGATTTGCGCTTGTTTTCTCCCAGAGGGCCCTGTCTCTATGTTCTCCAGCTGTTGTCGTTGGGGCAGACAGACAGTTCAGCCATGGGTTGGGCAGGGCTGCAAGGAGCCTGGAGCTACAGAAGAAGCCGGCAAACACACTGCCAACCCCAAGCATTCAAAAATTATGAGTCAGCCCTCTCCCCGTCAAATCAGGAGATCAGTTTACAAAGCAAGAGCTTTTAAAAATAATACAACTGGGGGGTTGGTTTTTTGTCTTCTGATTTCTGAGCCATTAGGATGCTCCGGGGGGCACATTTTCAAGTGTCTCACTGCAGCCATTAGGGCTACAAATGTAGTCATTGTTTTAACTGAAAGCTGACGTTCCAATGTAATCACCTGACTCCAGGACCTGGGGCTTTAAAAAATACACCAAATGTCGTGATTTGTGCCTAAAACTGCAAAAGTTAGCCCCGGGGCAGAAAGAGACGGCATGGGGCTATCTTCTTTTAAAGACACTAAGAACTTGTACTTAACAACATTAATGCTACTTAAACAGTACATACCACTGATACAGTAGCAACCAAGCCTGGTGTTGACTGTAGCCTGCAGTTCCCGGATATCCAGCACCCACCTCCCAAATTGGAGGATGACCTTTGACCTCTGCAGCCATACTCCATCCTTGCATCATGCTATCAGTAGTTACGCCAGGCAGGCAGCGCACACAGACTTCGTGGGCAATGACTCATACAAACAAGGTGCACATTCACTGAGAGATTTACCAGTTTGGTTTGCCTCTGTTCTCATTCCACCCTAGTGCCTTAACCTGTTGGCTGTCAAACCCTGCTCCAAGTACCAGTTTTGTATGGTGCTTTAGTCTTTTGTGACTTCTATTGCAGGCCACCATTCTCTCTTTATGCTGAGGTTCCACACTGGACCTGAGGTGCCGACGCTGCATGTATCCATTCAGTGGTGCTGACCCTAACTCTCCATGTGTCCTAGCTAGCCCATGTTCTCTAGTTGCTGAGGGTGATCATAACTAACAGGCAGGTGGCAGTCACTGCCTGCCACAGCTGTGGTGAGTGGTGGTGGTTTTTCTGGATAAACTGGTACATTTGTTTCATAAGGTTGGAAACTCTAGCTCTGCCATTGCCAGTTCTTCTGCTATGATTCTGTGACTTCGAAAGCTGTGGAAACTGAGAGATTTGACCACCTGGGCGGTGTGTCCTGGTGGGTGTAGCTGGAATATCGGGCTGTTAAAGATCTCCTCCAGACTGGCTCCATTAGATTGCATTACAAATCACTACTGAGATCACGCCATTGAAACCAGTGGTGTTTCCCCTGTAAAGACGTTAACCAATCATGTTTGTATTACGCTCTTAACCAAGCTTAACCAATCATGTTTGTATTACGCTTTTCTGCAGAAAAGGACCTAGGGGTCACAGTGGACGAGAAGCTGGATATGAGTCCAACAGTGTGCTCTTGTTGCCAAGAAGGCTAACGGCATTTTGGGCTGTATGAGTAGGGGCATTACCAGCAGACTGGGGGAAGTGCCACTAGATGGGACAGAACACCACACCCAGGCGATGTGTGAGTTACACGAGCTTGGTCAGAGCTAGCGCAGGTAATTCCACCCGAGCTAGAAATCTCACCTCCAGCTCCAGTGTCTATTTACCCTTCGATGCTCAGATACCAGATTGATGAGCAGTGTGGACACCTTGGGCCAAACCCTCGATTGTTGTCACTCAGTCGAAATCAATGGGCCTCTGACAGTTTACACTGGCCGAGGTCCTGGCCTCCAGGCTTCCTCTGAGCTTTGCAGAGCAGAGCTCGCTCGGCTGTGATTTCAATGATAGTGCTCTCCATTCCGGCTTCATTTCGCCCTCGCTCTGGCCTGGGAGGGTGTCTGTGGCTGGGCTTTATCAGAAACAGCTTGACAAGCACTTAGTGGAAACCAAGTTCTCCTTCCTTTCTGGTGCACGGGCTCTCTTTGTTTTGTGGCTTTTAGGGAGGCTGTTGGTCGTTACGGCTGGAATGCTGCTGAGTTTGATTGAGCAATCCGGATGGTAGCGGGATTCCAGCTGCCTCCCGGGTGCATGGTTTCCATCCCGTCGGACACACACTCACACCGCCCGGCAACCCAGGTTCCAGGCAAACCCAGGGAATGTTTTCAAAAAAGCATCTTTGGGGACAATAACAACAAGACACAGTCATGGGTGGTATAAATAAAGGATAAAACATGGGGCCACCAGGGCAAACTGACAGACCCATTTCTCAAGAGATGAGAAGCCCCGATAACTCAAGCTCTAGTTTTTGTTGGATGGTTTTCATGAACCTTAGTTGATCCTCAGATTATAAACACTGGATTTATTACCCAGGCAGTTCTTGCAAACACGGAGCAGTCAGGCAGCCTGGGAGGGGGGTTGAGTTAGGGATGTTGTATAATGAACAAACCACTTACTGTATAGTAATGAATAGGACAAGACATGGGAGGGTATTTTTTCTGAAATTATTGATGCAAATAGGATCGTTTTCTACAGGGTTGTCTGAGGTAGAAGTGGTGTTGGTTTTTTTTTGCATGGGAATATAAAATAATCCTCATCCTCTTCCTCTGCCACATTCTCTTGTGGTCACATTTATTTTCTAATATACAGTTCTTTCACACGCACTTGTGAAACCCAAGATTTTTTCGCCCAAAAATCTTTTTTTTTTTTTTAAATCATCCCAATAGTAGTAATGAAACCCTCTGAATCCAACTGCATTCTCATTTACGTTGGTGTAAATCGGCAGTTACTACACTGGAGTTACTCTGGATTTATATCACTGTAATCTAAATCAGAATCTGGCCCTCTGGTGTGGTTGAACTATCAGTTAGAAGAAAATCAAAGTTCTCTAACCAAGAGCCTTTTGCTTTCCTGTGACTGTGAATCAGACATTTGGAAGAAACTTGGTAGTTCCATGGTGCCACCTGTGCATCCGAAATACTGCTCAGCGAGCCCAAATTACATATTCTCCCTCTGTTATCGCCCTGTGATTTATAGCCTAACTCCCAACCTGGCATCCCCTCTTCCGACCAGCATCTGCTGCTGACTTCAGTTTGCTTTTGCCTTCGTTCACTTTGCCCGTGCGGTGGAGCTTGCATGGAAGTTCCCATCTCCCAGGGCCTGCGACATCGCCCTGATGAGGAGTTGTAGAAATCCTTGGATTTGCAGCATTTGGTGATCGCGCCGAGAGCCTCACATGGGAACAAAGGGAATATGTCAGTTTAATTTGGAAAATTATTAAATGTAAATGGAACCACTAGAGAAGTCTTAGGTGCATCCAAGGCACAGAAGAGGTCCACGACTCAGGGAAGTAATGAGGTAAGATGCGGTATAGTTGGAGCAGGGAGGATTTCTGGGCTCTAATCCAGACTCTGTTACTGACTCACCACGTGACCTTGGCTAAGTTACTTGACTGTTCCTTCCTCAGTTTCCTTATCTTTGTAATGCAGAAATGATTACCACTAGCCTGTCTTGTGGAGGGGGGTTTGAGGATTTGGGTGATTTATGCTGATAAAGAGCTTTGAGATGAAGGTTGCTATGGACGGACAAAGAATTATCGTTGTGTCCTTAGCTGCTCTCACACCTGTATGAAATGTGGAAATTGATGACAAGGCGTGGAACTTCACCTGTGAAATCTACTAATTCGTCTCATTGCACTGTTCTGAAGCCCCTACTGTCCTTTCATCTCAGCAGGAGTCCCCTTTGCAGGGACCCTTTCCCCTCAGTTCCCAGAAACTTCAGCTGTCCGCGTATCTTTGGGGTGGTTTTTGTTGTTTGGATCGGGAGTGCTGGTTCTTTTGATGTGTAAACGGTGCCGTGTTTTTGCTGACGCTCTCCATGTCTTTGCCCATCGCTGACCAAGTGCCTCCTCCTTAACTCGCTGCTCTCACCTGGTTCGAGCATGTCAGCATGCTGGTCATCCTGCTGAACTGTGTCACCTTGGGCATGTTCCAGCCCTGCGAGGACGTGGACTGCAAGTCGGAGCGATGCACCATCCTGGAGGTAGGAAAGGGAGCCTGATGCACTTTCACAGCTGGGTGGTAAAACATTAGCCAAAGGAGGACAGCGAGCCTTGTAGGCTAGTGATTCATTCAGGAGCCAGCGCCCTGAGGTTCTATTCCCAGTCATGAGCCCAAGGATCTGGCTAGAGTGTACTAAGAGCCCATGCTTGCTCTGTTCTTCAGCTGAGGCTGCCAGCTGCATCCAAACGAGCTGCAGATTATTGCCCACTGAGGACGGTGTACAAGTCCTGGGCTCATAAACCCTTTTCCTGGAACCTTAATAGCCTCCCAGAGCTCCAGGGGGCAGCACGTGAGCCTGGCAATCACATAGCTGACATATGCCACTGGGCTGCTCGTCTCTAAGCCCCTGTGTAATGTCCTGGGCATGCTTGACTCTTTAACACACGTGTAGCTTTAATACCCTGCAAACCCTTCCGCGGTAAGGAAATGTCATTGGGACCCCTAGTAGATCATCACATGCATCCACCTCTAAGGACTGGTCATGGATCACATGCAAATGTCAACAACCAGGGGTCCTCTCATCCCAGACCCTTCCAGCCTAAAGTTATGAGATGTTAGGTGCAGAACTGAACCGACCAGAGCAATAGAGAAACCACCAGAGATTGGTTACAGAATAAATTGTAGAACCGAGCTGAGAAAATACTGCAAATGGTTATCCACCGTAGGAATTGCCACACCGGATTAGGGTAGGATCTGGTCCCAGCTGCTTCAGAGAAAGGTGCAAAAAATTGTGGTAGGCAATCATGGAATACCCTGCCCATGGGGAAAGCAGCTTCCTAGACCCCATCAGATGGCAGCTGGTCTGAAGCATCGGGTTTCCATTCCTCCCAACCATGTTTCTGCCTTTTGTTGTATGCAGTCGTTCACACAAATGGCTCTTGGCTTGGTGGATGTCTGTCATTCTTACAAATACCCAAATCCGCATGCAAACAGAGGGATTCCTGCATGAGCAAGAGTCATTGTTATTGATTATTCACTATTTATTCTCTTCAGAGAATCTCATCAAATCGATTAGCAGAAACCATATTATGGGTACGTCTACACAGCCCACGGTGGCAAGCCTTCCCAGCCCAAGTTGACAGACTCAGGTTGGGGGGGACTTATGCAAGTGTTCTAAAAATAGCCGTGTCGACAGCACTTCGGAATTATGGTTCGGGCTGGAGCTAGGGCTCTGAAGCCCATCCTCCTTCCTAGCTTCAGAATCCACGTCGCTACGTCTACACAGCTCTTTTTAGTGTGGTAGCATGAGCCCTGGGAGCCCGAGTCTGTTGATCCAAGCTGGGAGGCTCGCTGCTCCGGGCTGTGTAGAGCATAACCTTTGCGACTTAAATGAATCTAAGTGAACAGTTCACGAGGAGCCCGTACAACGATCATTGTTTGCATTGAGCGTTGAATGATTACAACATGTCAGATATATTTGTAAAAATCAGAGCCTGTTGTGAACAGTTAGCAGACGGAAAAAGAGCGAAACATGCAAAGAACAATCAACCAACTTTCACCCCTGCCCCACTCCAGCTTGCAGGAAGAATGGAAGCCAAAAGATGATGTAGGAAGCATTGAGCTCCCTTGCGGAGACAACTCGGATGCCAATTATCAAATGAACTGAGACTGCTGGAACAAATTCGGTATAGTTTGTAAAGGAGAAGTGTTGGTATGTAAGCAGACAGCTAGAGTAGATAGCTCTCTCTCACCTGCACAGGTGCACACCCAATAGGTATATGCAAAGGAAGCCAGTTTGCAGCTGCCTGTTTTGTTACGTTTGGCAATAAACCATTCAGGCCTCAAAATGAATGTACCAGAGACACAACGTAGGAGGCTCTGCTGACTGTTATGATCACAAAGAAAGTGGTTGGAGGCAGGGGCGGCTCTAGCTTTTTTGCCG